CAAGAGGTATCCGCTCTTGTCATCTGGTAAGATCTACCTTCGAATCTTTTCACCAAACGCTTTTGTGCTCTGACACCCTTTATCGAATGAGACGACACGTTTCTCCAGTATTAAGACGACATCATAAACACATTATTATATAACAACCTGATCCGTATATTCGGTCAACTTTCATTATGAAAGTGGACATAACGGAAGAAAGTTTAGTAGTTTAATTGAAGATATGAAGACCAAGATGTTGGGGCCTCTGTTTTGGTCGCAGTAGTTCGCCTATTTTGTTTAATCTGACGATAATAGCCGAATGATATCTTGCATCGGCATTATTAGATCTGTCATCAGTTTGTGTCAAGTTACGCTTTAAAAGAGCAAACTACCATATCATCTTCTAAAAAATCGAAACAGCTTTACTGTGCTCGCAAGAACAGTACTATGACATTGGTAAGTCTTGAATAGCAACTTGAGTCCGTCTGAGTTGCCTTAGGTGATGTTAAGACTGAAAATTGTAATTCCCACAATAAATTGACTTGGCTTTATGATGTCATTGAAGTTCTCGTAACCTTGCCTGACAAAATATATAATCCCCCAGACCAGATTGCAGTTTTAAAATCGTCTCGGCCTCGTCACCAGCTCAGGCCTGATGCTAAACCAGGTCGCGTGAGTACTGGCGACACATCATTGATGCCTCAATTTTCACACACGGATCATTTTAGAGCACAATTTAATTGCAGATGGGGCCCAATCGAGTTCGAATCTGCAGTCTAGCCGAGGTGAGAAAACCTTTTGAGAGGCAAAACTAATTGAAATTCAGTGACATTATGAAACCTACTCCCTTCATTGGGGGAAACATTCTACTATCAGTCCTTAAATCACCAAAATTGACCTTTGCTGACTCAGGATTTTAGGTCGTAATCCTTCTTTTAAGGCATATATTCGATTTACTAGTAATGCCAATAAAGAATTTCTTTAGTCTAGTGTTATGTGGGATAAGAAAGTATAAATTTATGAGATGTCTTCTATCTTTTATCCTTAAGTTGATGGAGGACTGGTAAATGTATTTTCCCCGACAATGATATGACTAGGCCTTAGATTTCCGCTGCATATATTCGACTTAATATTATGGTCAATAAAGAATTTATTTAACCTAATCATATGTGAGATAAACAAATATAAATGAGAGCATTAGATGTTCTTTACTTTTGTGTCTTTGCCCGAGAAGTTAGCAAAGAAAACGAAAGCGAAAAATGAAAGATTTGTTCATAGTTAGATTATAAACTTTCAGATAACCATATATACACCTATGCTGGTGTTGATAGTGTCAGATTTAAATAATTATTCTCTTCGCTCCGCCAGCCTTCATTTTAAATCTTTTTTTTCGATTTTGAATCCTAAATAAGTTGGCTCAATACGTAAACTCTATTTGTGTACCTTTATATAATCATTTTAAGTCATATTCGTAAAAACATAGGCTGAAAATTGATATACTTAAGACAAATCTAGGAACCGACCTCGTCCATTTAATTAAACTCTTGTAGGCCAATAATGTGAATTCACCCAAGACCAAATTATTGTTCAAATCGCTCTGCGTATAATCATCATCCTAATGAGTAATGTAATCCAGACCCCTCATAGTTCAAAAATATTGGCATATACATCACTAACTTGTAGTAAGTCTAAATTGCAAGGTTGGTATGCCACACTAAGAAAAGCAAGCCCCCTTATAGCGTAGCTATGACAGGCAAAACCGTTTTTTCGTTTCGCCATTGTCGGATAAACTAGTAGTTGCTGCTTCGATATCAAAATGAGTCCTCATAAGTTTGTTGTTGTTGCTCAGGGCATTTACAGATAAGCGAGGTCGTGAAATTTGCTTCTTTGACAAATTAATGCTCTCTTTTATAATGGTTAACTCTGCCCTAAGGATACCATCCACAATGCCTGAGAAAATGGAGACTTTATAAAATGCTTTACTGAGCATACCAAATAAAAATGAGCGAGGTCAAAAAGTTTGATTTAAATCGAAGAAATAGTCGACTAGAATAGATTCGTTAATTGGCCTCACCGAAAACCCAAGGACTGCCTTGGAATTGTGCAAAGCAGTCCTTGGTTGACCGTTCTGCGATTCCAATGAACCTGCGATTAGCCTTTGTCTGTCCTGCTGCGACAAACAGTGCCAGCCGGCTTTCGGCAAGCGCTAAGACGATAAATGAAACCAATAGCCAACTTTCCTACATCACATTTGCATATAAGCAAAGCGACTGTGGAGAATGTGGAGTGGCTGAAGAACACGTGCAAAGTTAACAAAGATCTGAGGAAAAGATTGTTTTCTCCCAAAAATCCCTTATTTTTCTAATCATACAATGCTTGATTGTCCAAAGTGTGTGTATTGCTCACGAATCACGTAAGACGAAAGCTCTGAGAGTAATCAATCCACATCTTGCTCTGCGGCTCTTAAGGCTTCCGCTCGCTCCCCCTAACCCTCTCAAACAGCTACAAGTAGACCTCGCTCAGTTTCCTACGCTCGCATCTTCAATTAGCTGGCTTTTTTATTTGTATAAATTCCATAATCTCACCATTAGATGTCTGCTGCAAAACGTTGTGCCTCAACTATTCTAGTTTGTGCCCTGTGTCCGGCCAATTCATATTTTGGACCCATTTGCCTGTGCAGACGATTTTATGTTAAGACCACCTCTTATGGATGGGTCACCGGTCTCCGGCAAATATACTTTGCCATGAGCACAAGCTTTGACATCCAAATGAGGAGAGGCTCCGAAACTTATGAAAAGAAGAGCATAACTGAGGAAAATGTTGGTTTCTCTTCATACCTCTCTTGAAAGTTGTCAGGACGGTAGCATCAGAAACCTATATGTCCACCCTACCATAAATAGCCATAGCCCCAGATTCCGACTATCAGAGTAGCGCAGCCTTAATCGGCCACCCCCAGTGGACAAGAGTTTTAGGCCAAAATATTCCTCAGTCGCCTCAGTTTCCGGTTCCTGTAGGCTAAGTATACTTAACAAGGACTACGTGTCATCATCAATTTGATGACCACTATCGTGACTGCATTTGGAGAATTAAAAAATAGGTCAGAAAGGAGACCTTCATTTATGGCGTTACTAAACATATCTCTATTCGACTTAGTATCTTCTGCAATCACGTAGATATCCAGAAATGCCAGACAATCATTCTCTTCAAGCTCGTCTATAAATTTTGTCATTTCAATAAGGAGCTTGCTCCTGCATTTTAATCTAGACAAGTAAGCTACTAATCGAATTTAAGAATTTATAGACAAATATAGAGTTGGACTGGTCAGACGTGTATGCGACAGATGAGTAACGCATGCTTCATTGATGAAAGGAATTGCGCTTGAGACCATTTTGAGTACACTAAGCATCTTTAGTTTTTCACTGAAGAACATAGCCAACGATAATGTCCAAAACCGTTATCTCACCTTATCTGCTAATTCACTTGTGAGTGAAATATTTCTTTTACGCTGACTGAGTGAAAGTGGGAAACTAAACTGCCATATGGCCAAATGACAAAATAATCATCCACATATATAACAATTTAGTTCCCTTTATAATCTCTGAATATTCCTCCAGGGCGAAAATAAGAGCCCGAAAGGCGCCCTGCTGTCCGACTAACAATTAACGAGTTCATTAGAGTTTCCAACTGAAAATAGCCAAAATTCGATCATTCTAAATCGTCTGCATAAAAAAGACTTGGACATATTTTAATAATATGACTATTAAGGAAGATGGCAAGTTAAGGAGAGATGTTTAAAAGAAATCAGCATATGCAGATTTTGTCCTTACTTCTCTTCTAAACATAACTACAAAACTAAAGTTGGAATTTTATAATCGATGATCACTAGGAGTATGAGACTTGCGAGTGGAACTCACCTGACTGAAGCATCAAGACAGACCTATATTCCTGGAAAATAAGTATCATTTAGGCTTAATTTATAATAGCCTCTTTAAGAAATACATTTTCCGACGGGGACTATTTGGTGAGAAATGTAGAAGCTGAGACCTTTTATCATGTCCTGATCTTGTCGTCATGCCTTCTTTCCGGAACTAGTGAGGAAATGGAGGATAAAAATAACTTTCAAGGAAGCCCTGACACTTTCATCGGGTAGGCCTGCTTTTGAATAAGGGCCCTCTTCCACCTCTTAAGCACATGAATAGCTCTGGCCATATCCTTACAAGCCATGGTAGAAGGAAGCCCGCCATTCGTGATCAAGAGCATCTCTACATTAGATTACTGCATGCAAAACTAAAGCAGCTAAAATTGAGATCATTTGGATCAAATTGCACAAGATCCAATATAGTTAACAGGTAAGGGCATCCCTTCCTTCTTATCGTATTGGAAGAAATAAGCACGAAAACAGATAATGCTGAAAGTGGTCTAGGAATGGCCTGCTGGCGTATCTTCGCGATCTGAAATTTATTTTAGTCAAAATTTTCAGAATAATAGTGTATAAAAAGACTTTATTAGACATTTTTGTAAAAATAGTATATATACAGAGCCGAAATTGCTTAATCCCAAAAGGTTCATATGCAAGAGGAGGAAATTAACAACTGGAAACAGTACAGCATATAAACAAAAATCCGAGTATCAAAATCGTCGAAAATGCATTTACAATAATTGAAGGAGAATTCAAACAAACTATTTTAATAGCCTTAGTAACCGATAAAGGTTAACAGTAGCCAAAGCTCTTTGCTAACCATGCAGGTAGTATAGAATATATAGATATTCAAAAGAATATTTTCTGGAGCCAAATAAACTTCAAAAACATGTGGCCTCTCGCTCAGAATTGCTTAAATAATTAATGAGAAAATATGACCAATCCATAGAGAATTACAAAAACTTTCAGACTTGAAACTAGAAAATATGGTCTTCTAGAAATGATATTTGCGTAAGTATTCAGCCAAGTCCTTAAAAAACCTACAGTTTTTATGAAATTATGGGTTGTGAATAGGCGCAATAATTTCATTTTTATATAACTAATGATGTCCTGAAAATCCAGACATCTTCCGGCCGCGAGTGTGTATACGAGTTGAAAGAGACCCTCCACGTCGAGCTCCAGCAACTGAGTGTCCTATATCCCAAGAACGTCGAGCTATCGTCGCTGCAGAAGTCGAGATCGAGGATGAAGTAGTGGCGGACACGGAAGTAGGACTAGAACTTTGGGCAGCATTTTGACCCGGCTGAGAGGAGGATGAAGATGGATTAAATGGGGTAGAAGTAGGAGCAGCAATACTAGATGAGATACCAGTAGGCGGAGCCTGGCTATGGGGCGGCGGGGCTACTGGAGGAGCAGATTCAAGACGCACGAGTGTCGATTCCGAAGATTGCTGGTGTTGCTGAGCCGTCAGCAGCCATGCTTGGCCATGTCGATCAATTAGGCTAGCTTCAACACGCAGGCTATATAGATCTGTAGACAAAGTGGAGGGAGTAGAAACCAAAAGACGCCGGGAGTCCCATGAAGGACTTGGAAATTCCAATTCCAGACCCGTGGGACCGGTTTCAGGAGAAAAAACTACACAAAACTCGGCCTGGAAATAGTCGCGTAGAACTGGCACTGTTCGAACAAGGCGAATAGCGTCATCATCAGGCCCTATTGGCTGGGAAGATATATTCGAAGCAAGAGTTGTAGAAGAAGCTCCTCTAATGCCATCAGAAACAAGAGGGGAAGCTAAGCGACTGGATTTCATATGCCCAATGTCAGATATGGATGAGTTAACGAGATTAGGTTGGATCACCGGACGGACAGTTAGCTCGATGCGAACAGCAGTGACACGTCGACGTAGTCGAACCCTTGAAGAGTCTGCTGCCACCTCTGAATTATCAGAGCCAATGTCAGAACTAGAACTAGCCGTAGTTTGTTGAAGAATTCCCATTACACGAACCATATGACCAATACCTCGGCCAAAGCGCACAGGCGCCTCGCTGGATGTTGAGGCGGAAGCGGCTTGGTTTGCCTTTGGAAGCAGAAAAAGACGAACTGTAGTCGTTTGGAGACGTTGGAAGAAAAAGCGTGGCAAACAAAGTGGGCAGGCAGCAGTGATCCGAGCCAGTCTCAGCAAATGAATCAAAGGATATACTCGGCTGGATAGAGCCATGCTCTGTGCATGGAACTGCGCCAATGCAGATTCAGACTCCATTTCCAGGTCAGGCACAAGCAAGGACCAGTCGGTGGAAAGATCGACGACCGTAAGCTGAGCAGGTAGGCGTCGTAAGGGATCCATAGAGCAAAACGACTGCCCAGGCAGCGAAGAGGAGGGCGGAAGAAAAGATTCCAATGTGCTTTAACAAAGAATCGGCGAAGTTATGAATTTAGAAAAAAGTCCGTAATACAGGCTCACGTATAAATAATTAAGAGAACAAAAATCTAGGATTTTTTAAATTTTTATTGCAACTATTTGGTTTTACATGTATTTCATCGTTCCAAAAATAAAATAATAAATTAAGATATTAATTGCAATAGTAAATAGCTGCTGCAACAAGACTGGTATTATATTATATCATATTGATATAAAATAAATTATGCTAGGCGGACAAGAAGCATAATCAAGAGACTCGGAAGATTAAGCTTGTAGTTACTTTAACTCTACAATCAGTTTGACCACATCAACCGAAGTTATATATCAATTGATGTAACACCAAGCGAAACATGACTTACCGGTACTATGCATTGCGGGGACTGAGCGAACCTAGTCACCACATCTAGCTTCTCCGTTGAACCAATCATAACGTGACATTTAGAGTACACAAGAGTATTTTAAGTCAGAAACTCCCTATACTGGTACTCCTTGACCCATCGCTACCCTGGCGCCGTCGTTACCCTATGTGGCCCTCTGCGACCGAATACTGCCTTCTTGCATCAACACTACACTCCGTCATCGCCTTTGTTTCTCCTACAACAAAATCATCGTCTATAAAAGGCATTTCGTGACTCGTTTTCTTGTTCTCCTATACAAGGTGGTGTATCCTATACGGTAGTGCGGAGCCGAGTACACACTTATAGTGAATATTTTAGATACAATAAACTGGTGAGCACGTAATGTTTTTTTTTATTTTTGGTCATATCTCCAAGGGGTAACATCCAGGCGGTTTAAATTCGACATTTTTGTGTTTCCAATACCATCTTCACGGACTTGAAGGATGATAAATTGGAGATGATCGTGCTCTGAAATTCGATGGTAGAAGGTGCGCTTGCAATTTTAATTGCATTACATGTAATATTTCTAGCATTATCTCCATGGGTGTCTCAAATCCTAGTGTGTGTTTGTATTGGATGGTGGTAACAGAATGCGTTCGTTGGATGATTATTTTTATCAGATCATCCGCATTCTTAACTGCCTCTCCCAAAATTTGGCCCTTAGCAGTTTTCAAAGCAATCTGGATTTCAACTGGGAGCCTTTTCATCCATATGTGATGCAATATAGGTCCAACTTGAGGATCAGAAGCAATGTTGGTGCAAGCGTGCTAGAAGGATTGATGGCTTCTCATCTTTTAAAACTTTAGCCTCAAATAAGGATTCCATTCTTTGTTTTTCTTAAAGAGCTGTGAGTTTGTAGTGACCAATCCCCACTTTCCCTATTCAATGTTTAGTTTTTTTTTATTCCATACGTAGCCATGGCTCAACACGCTTGGGCGCAGAGATCGCGTAGGTGCGTGACAAATCTTAACTATTTATTTCGCGTCGACCAATCAAAGCTTGGCACCGCATCATCCAAGCAGAAGTTGATATAGAAGACTAGGCAAGGGAATACCAAGTAGCTAACATCCTAGATATGAAGACCAAGATGCTGTGGTCTTCTGCTTGGTCGCAGTCTTCTTTAGATCTATAGTGTTGCTTCGACCTCGTCACTTGGATAAGTTGTAATTATGTGCTTACGATGGCATCTCTCACTGACGATGCCGGTGAAGCGTTTGGGAATATATCCAGCAAATGCTCCAATGCTGGAAATCACGAATACTATGGAATAGGACACGGAACTAGGTACGTTCCACAAGGTCTTCCTGACGCTCCGGACAAGTTGCGAAACCAAGGTCGAATCAACACCAGCTAACATGTTTAGATTGATTACGTTTTTTTCCTTCACTTTCTCCCCTACACCGTGATCCGCGGAGTTCAGACTCTTCTATTTCACGCCGCCTTTTCAA